GATTGTTAATACTACGTTTCTACGAATTTTCCAGTAACTTAGTCGTTGTAGAATTTTCACTAGCTTGATAACTCCTTCGATCTGGACATAATAATTGTTATAGTTATAGTTAACCTTCGTTTTCAATGATGAACGATATCGAAAGGATCTTGTGACCTTGGGTGGCCAGGTTGAGGAATCTGAACACTTTCAGGATTTCCAAGACCTTCAGGGACTTCGAAGACATCCAGAAAATCAAAAACCAGGATTGCCAAGGCTCTCGAGATGTTCAGGATTCCAGGGCTTGTGCAGCGTTTCACAACACTCGCGATTCACAAGATTCGTAAGAACATCGAGACTTCGGGGATTTTTTTTCGAAGTCGAGGAACCTGCGGAAGACTTTCGACACTGCAAGAAGTTAGAGGACATCGCAAGATTTTCAAGACTCGACCGGAAATCTTCAAGATCTGTTGAACTTGCAGGTGTTTGAAGACTTGCGTAACGTTCGAGAATTGCGAAAGATTCGCGGAATCTGCAGGATTAGCAGGACAACAAAATACTCTCGAAATTTGCAAGACCTGCAGAACTTGCTGAAGGATCTGCATGAATTTCGGAAATTGCAGAACTTTCGTGGAATTCGAAACATTCGCAGGACATTAGAGAGTCGTAGAATCTGCCGTATTTCCGGGACTTGCGGATGCGTTTCTTAACGTGTCATTTAGAAATCTATTCGAAAGTAGTTCAAAGTGATCGCTGACCCGCCACTGGTCGTACCGTTTAGTGCCTTCCAAAAAAAGTATCATATAATACTAAACGACATCGAATATCTGATAGCCCCAGGTGCTTCGACGTTAATGTCCCATTAAATCGGACCACGCGTTCCCATTCTGAACGATGTCTCCATCGATACCCTGAATCACAAAACAAAAATTAGATCGTCGCTTTAATCGGCACTTTCTAGCGTGCGCGACTGCAAAGAACATAGAAGTAATAAAAAAAAAAACAACCTTAATAAAAAATTCAATAAGATTTTCATTTTTATAAGACAATCTGAGTAAAACTTGAGGACTTTAGATACCAATATAAGGATGTCTTAGCCTCAGTTGCACAGAACTTAAATAATTTTAAGTTGAAGAACACATTGTGTTTGGACCGTAGAACGTTAGGAAAGCTAAATAGGAGAGGGAAGATGAGTGATACAGATCGATTTCGAGGAAATCAGAAAATTTTCTGTGTAAGTCGTCGAAGTCGTTCAACCAGGGAACGTCTCCGCCACTTACGGTAGCAGTGATTCGACGCTGCATTCTTCTCCATCAGATGTCTTTTATTTAATCATTAAGCTTCGCGGCACGCACAAATACCCCGCACATGCGAATTGAAAATAGACTCATCGCGTCTCTGTTACCGCGGCCTTCGGTGCATATTTGCTTACAAGGTGCGTCTTAAAAGCACTGTAAACATTTAATAGTCCGTCTGTAAGCCGATTGCGTATCGCGTTCGGTGCGCGCGCGTGCACGAACGTAAAATCGCGGCGCCACACAATGGGCCAGACAGCAATTCTAGCAACGAATAAATAAAATACTGAGTGGTCTTAGAATTGAAAAAATGTCGGTTTTACTTGTGACTTATAAGTAGTCGATGACTACTTGCCTATCATAAAATAATACCCTGGCACAAGGATTTTTCCGTATGCATCACGAAACTGGCGCAAAAATGGCAATATTTGACTACCTGCGTCAGTATCTGTTTAGGCGTTCTGCTGTACGTATCGCTGAATGTATTCTTGTTTTGTGTAGTTTGGTATAATTTGGTGGGGATATTATCAAACGGTAAGAAAATATTTCAACGTATTTTGTTATAAAATTCTTTCCATAAGCTCTTAGTAACAGTACTTTCATTTTCATTATACTATTACACCGATTCTAATAATATTGTTCGAACATAAAGGTCTCACAATTCACAGATTTGAATAGATTTGCTATAATTCTGGTTACTACTATTTCTGTAGTCTACGTTAAAATTCTACAAAATGCCGCATCAATGGCGACTCAGAGGGACGCAAGAAAAGAATAGGGTTTTCCGAACTTTATTTACACAGAAAATTACTTTCCACATCGAATTGAAATTATACACCTATATTCATCAATTTTACAGGTAGGAAATGATTCTCATGGATTTAATAGTTTCTTCGCGATTTTCTTGGAACGTTGCGCGTCTAAGATCGCTCGCCGTAAATACGTCGTAGCCTGTCGGAACTATGAGATGCGCCAATCTGTGATCCGCAATAGCAACAACAAGGTTGTTATACGATTTGCATTCAGAATTAGTTAGTTTTCTATTGCTGCTCCGATCACATTTCCCCGACGCCATCCGTCATCTTTAACGCATTAAGTGGCATATCGTGTAAAAAGAATTTATGTTGCTTTTGGCCACTGTGTATTCTTTTTATTACATAGTATCCAAACTACCACAGGTGGCATCCATTCAGCCACAATGTATTATATTAATTTAGATACAAATGGCGCGTAATGTGTTTAAAAAGGGAAGAAATCCATTTTGCCTCCGAAAGATCGTTAAATCTCCCATTAGTACACCCAACACGTACATCCAAACCAAACTTTATCGTTAAAATTTGTATATGTAAACGAAATACTGCATCACCCACAAAGAAATCCGAAAAAAAAATGGACGGAGCTAATTACGTCCGATAAGCGATCTGGTCCGAAGTAATCCAACAACCACGATTCCAAGGCTCGTTAAAAGGTCCAAAAGACGGCCAGAAACAAAGAACCGTTCGTTATTGGCCGGTTTCAAAGGGGCGATTTCGTCGATTCTCACCGAATACGGGAACAAACGAGGTTTTACCTTGTTTAGCCAAAACACACACGTCTCTTGCCGTGTGGGTGGATCGAAGAGGGGGGAGAGGGCCGCCATTTTGTCCCAGCGAGAAACGTCTGAATTTCTTTCTTTTCACACGGTGGCTATATTTAGCTCGCCGCGGTTGTTTTGCAAAATACATCGCGACGCACGCGGCAGATGATGATGCCACGCGACAATATGAAAGTTAATGCAACGGGCCCCGGGAACCCGTTTGCAAATGTAATGGGACGCGAGCGCGCCGCCGCGCACATTCTGATCGGCTGACGATCTTCGTACCACGACGACGAGAAGGCGCGGTTTCCCCGGGTGGAATTGCGCAATTGTCGACGTGCAACAACAATCGTAGGATTAATTAATTTGTTTTCCTTGGCCGCGGTAAGGCCGACAGATGCGCCAGCCAAAGCGTGGTTTCGACACACGAACAAACAATACGGACACGATCGATGACAAATAGACCGCAAAAGATCCCGTGTATGCAAAAATGAGGGGTTGAAAACCTTTCCGCCTTGCCATGAATGCTCCGAAGCGACACCGAGTACGTCGCACTCATCGAGACATTAGTTTATTTTACCGTAATTAAATTTCGGTAATTCAATAATAATAATTTACCGATCACCATCAATATTTAGATGTGACCCGAAGGGAAGATTGCCAGGTAATCAAACGCGCTGATCGTTCTCCGCCAAAGGTTCGCCGCCATCTTGAATCCCGCCGTCCCGATCCGTGACCACTCTTTTCCGTCTTTTTTCCCCCTGAATGACGAGCATCTTTCATAATTCTTCCTGTACCAGGGTGTTACACGACTGTCACCGGTTGTAGCTAACTTATGTGATACTTGACACACTGCCACCCGACGATAACGAGCCACCTGGAACGAGACTAACGAGCATCTCACATTTCGTGTGATGTATTCTGCCGTTACCAACATCGCGCGAGCGAAATGTGTACGATACACGTCCGCCAGCGCGATGAGTCACTGTCGCGACTTTTACGTCGTCTGGCCTGACGATCCGCAGGGGAGCTTCTTCCCGCGAAATTGTATACGTCGACTAATTGTCGCGACCCGATTAGATCTCGATTCGTACCACGTGACGCGCGGGGTGATTCGCGTCACTAATGACGAAGAATCACGAAGTCGATCGATCGAAATTAATTTTGATTCGAACCGATCCTCCGAAGACAAATTGCTTACGTTTGATGTTCAATTTTCTTTCTGTTCGGTTTTTTACGGTCCCATCGATAAAATTTTACAAAATATAAAACGGTCGATGAGGGTTTTTTATTTTATGTTCAATCTAAGGATATTGATGTTTGACTGGTGAGTGTTTATGCAGATTCGTGGTTTTCGACAGGAATTTATGAAAATGGAAATTAAGGAAAGATTCATAACACATGAATATTGTTTAAGTCTCATGGAAGGTTTTACTTTATTGTGTTTCGCGGCGGTAAGAAGCGCTGTAAACGCAGAAATATTCGCAGTCCATCAATTTCTATGTTCTCGAGTCAATGAATGTGCTATGCCGAGCAAAATTAACTGGATGTATATATATGTATACAGAAGCGGACAAAAACGTCACCAATTTTCTGATTCTCTTCTATTTGTATTACTTCTTAACATATTAACATTATTACGATTTTTGATTAGATTTGAACTCTTTGTGTTAGATTTTTAAGGGAATCGATTCTCCATGATTCGATTCAGAATCGTTTTGAGAATCGATTCTTTGAAGTGAATCGAACATCCCTAACCCGCGGAAGAGAGTAGCACAGCGCGCCGTTCCATCGTGAGCGCGAGCCTACCGAACGGGCAAACCAGCCAGCCAGGAGAAACGGGCGCGCGGCTCGAATAGTGGTGGGGTGTCAGCCGCTGCTTATCTGGCGACTTTATGTATATTACGATGCCCAAGGCAGGAACACGAGCAGTTCACTGCTGGCTAACTGGTCGGAGAAGTCGGTGAAGCCGAGTCTGTGCCCGGGCCGCCCCCCCCACGGTTCATCAAGCCAGCAGAGTCAGAGAAACGTGTTTGTACATGTGGCGTGCGTGCGCGCGCGCACGTACCGACTGTGTTTGATGTGTGTGTGTTGTACTGCTCCCACGAAAGTCGCCGTGACGCGCGGTGTGTGGCGGTGCATCGAACCTACTCTACACACGCGTGCCGTCCACGGCCGTGTGGTCTCTTATTCGGAGTTTCACGCAAAGTAAACCAGAGGGACCGATAGGGCGCGCGTGTTCCCTCGGTCCGTCGTGTTTGCCCGTCGAGCGCGCGGCGGATTCACGTTCGAAGAAGAGGAAGAAGAAGAAGTTTCTGCGAGCGGATCGTGTCCTACCGGCGATCGATACGCGGATCCAGGATGATCGTCCTCGCGTGGTCCCTGTTCGTGCTGGTCTCGTTCTGCGTCGCGACCAACCAGGCGTTTCTCGCCGCTCCTCTGCCAGGTACATGGAAACAACGATCATTTTCCTTTTCTTTATTTATTCTTTTATTTTCTCTCTCACGGTTTCACTTTTGCGCTGCGGTTATACGTGTGTACAATGTTTTTCCGTTCGGTGGAACCGTTCGGAGACAGAGGTCGCGCGGTTTTAGCGTATATTACGTTTTTGGATGTATAGATCGTTACCTGGGTAGAAAATTGTGCTAGTTGTGTGGGCATTTTGTATTTCCATTGTGGTCTTCGACCAGTACCCTCGGTTACCTCGATGGGAAATTGTAATTTGGGGATACCTTGCGGTTAGTAATTGTCGCGGGTGTTTGTGTGTTCGTGGGTGGTCTCTTCGACGTAGATTATCTGAATTCGGGAATTGTTATAGTGGAGATTTGTATTTATGGGTGTTCTTCGATGAACAGTCTGAGGTACCTGGACGAATAGTTGGGTAGAACAGTAGGGTTAGATGGTTCGTTTGGAAGGCATTTCGGACGATCCATCGTCGGTTAGTGATCTTGGGGAGTTCGAACGTTTAGGAGGTTATGGCCGCGTAGTGATGATTATTATTGGATCGATTGAAAGACAGTTAGAAATTATGGAGATTCGAGTAGAAATGGAATATATGGGAAGCCGTAAGGGAAATGGTGGTGATCGTAGTGAAATGATTTCGAAGAGTTCGGGATGTTTGTTCGACCGGCGATCTTGATCAGTTTCGATCGTCACGGTGCGAGATAAGTGAAACGATGCGAATCGTTCGTAAAATGGAGAATCTGACGGAATAATAATGTACTGTACATGATTCCGTAACTTCGACTTCTTGTTTTTCCGTGATTTGCTGGCTCGCGTGCCCGGTGACTTACGAATGGGAGTGTATACACACTGATCTCTACAGGGTGTCCAGTGTTTCAGTCATAAGATCGGATAGAGAAAATAGTTTTCTTTTTTACCGTTCCTCGAGTTTGTTCCGCGATGTGTGTGAAACTTCAGAGAATTGTACGATTCTATTTAAAATATCGAAGGTGACCTTGAGAGTTTCGAGAAAGACTACTATTGATCGACTTGTAGATCATTCCGTAGTCAAATGTAACATTAGTGACAATTCAAGGAAAGAAGTAGTAATTTGTTATAATACGGAAAGTTTATTACGACAGTGAAATTATATCGTTTACCGTGAACACAGGATATTCAGAGAAGGTTATGTGAAACTTTACTACACGTCAAAATAAAACTTAAGTGTTTCGTAAACATGGTTCGAGATATCCTTTGTTTCTAAGTTATCAGAAGTATTTCTTAACAAAAGTCTACACATTTTTATTCTGCTTTAACAATGTTTCCTATTAATTGCGTTTCAATTCTTCTATGACGGAAATTTTATTGAAATCACAACACTGAATATCGTTACGAATAAAAATACAGCAGATCCAACCGTTTGTGAATTCAGATGCATAAAATAATGTTTAGTTTCATGTTCTTAAAATACTACTGCTCCTTTTTTATTGTAACATGCAGTTTCTGCTGAAACTTTCGCTTACTAACGGGTAACCACAGTCACCTGTCCGAATTTCCCACAAATGGAAGTCGGCTGATCGTGCACAGCAACTTGCCTTCGAATATTTAACATCGAATCTAGTATTTCTCCCTTTTCCACGGTTAGACAACTGAAAATTGAATGTAATTCAACGGATGTGACAGTGTCCGTGTGTGTGTTATCGATACTACACAACAAAATATTATACAGAATCATGGAATCGAACTACGATATTACATTTCACGCATTAATTTTGCCAACAGTTAAAAGGTTTACATTACGATATTAATCGTACCGGAAAGTGTGCAAGTGTTATCCCGTATATTCGATAGAAATGATTCGCGTTACGAAATCTTTTTATTGGAAACTTATTCAGATCAATCACCGCCGTGATCGAGAGAATCGACGAATGGCAGCTGAATTATTTCTATTATCGTGTTCCCTTTGTTTCCCAGTTATTGACAGTGACCCCTGGCGAGCCTCGTGCCCCCGAAGTCTACTCACTGTGTAATTGAGTGTAATTAAACACTGACGTGTCTCTCTTCCGAGCAATCAGTATCTTTTTCCGTGACGGTCATGGGTCATCGATCGCGAATCGACCGGGCGTGCTTTCACGCGGCCGCCGCACGCAGCCTCGAATTTCTCGGCTATTTCCGTTTTCATACGCGGGCACACACGGTTTCCCTCTGTCGAAAGCCTAGCGGCGAGAGTTTCGCGGGTTTCCAGCCGGTCACAAGATACAGATCGCGTTGTTATGAAACAAGGAGGTTACCTTTTAGAGAAAAACTAGGTAAACAGTGATTGCACAGGTTTGATGATTAGTTTACAAAAAAAAAGTGAACAGTTCATGAAATTCCCAACGTTTGAATCGCAAACTAACCTCTCTGACACGATCATGGATGTTTGTAAAACCCATAGACATAGGAATTCTATTATACATATTTCTGTGTCTATGGTAAATCATTTCTCGGTCGAATATATTCGTTGATTCGTCTGGCGAATCACTTCGATCGAATCTTTGAGCATACGGAAGTTTGGCGAAAGAAATGTTCTGACGGATAATCGAATACGATAACTATCGATTTGCGAGATTCGCGAGTTCCGGGCAGAGATCGAATCTCTTGGCCCGGTGCACATGAGCGATACGATTATCATTAGAAATATACATCTGCCGAATCGCACGTCACCGGTGCCAAATTGCAATGACTTGTATCGTTCGTGTGCTCTGGTCGACTTGCACCGCGACGGAATCGATCGATCTGTCGAAAACACGAGGAAATGAAGCATATGAGCCGTTTGTTTTGAAAGTGATGTGAATACAATTTTGAGATAATAAGACTATGATTGCTGTGGTTACTGGTAAATACAAATAAATGCAGTGGTCTCGAACAATTTTCGAAATAAACTCTCGAGGAGACGCTATCGATTTCGCGAGTCAGCGTAACCTCGACGAAACATCATGAACGTCGCAAGTGTGATCGCGGACCCGTTCGAAACTGTCAATTACACTTTGCCCCGTAATCGTGAATGATGCTAGACTATTTTATCGGCGACACTGCTCGTTGGTCGTGCGTAATCGAGATATCGAGCGTTCGGATGACTCTGTCGTTCGATTGCAAAGAAACCTGTGACAATATTTCGTTACGTTGATTAATATTATTGTGATTTTTTGATGAAATATTCGCGATTCGTTCAGTGTTCCGATAATAATCGATACAAATTGGGATAATCAGCGTTTTCGATAATCGACGTTTGACGGTATCCGTAATGAACGTCGATCCGCGTACATAACCTAACAGTTAACCCTTCGCGGCCGTACACATAACAAAAGTTTTCCGTTATTAAAAGTATTGGACATATTTTTATAATTCAAAATTTAGTATTTATTTTCTGTCGATAGCAATTATTTGCATAAATTGACTTTCTATAGACATTTCTGTCGGGAAATTTTCGCAAATGAAAAATTGCTTTTCTGTTATTTCGACGTCGAGAAAACATTTTGCAAACATGTCCTACACTTTCAGTAACACCTTGTATAAAGCAGTTTGCGTACTTTATATCACAAATTACTAGCCACTTCGCGTAATTATAAAACTTCAGGCCTATCCGTCAATTAATTTTTGCTAAATCATGCGAACCAGCCCGAAAAGCAAACACAGTTCTCGGCGCTCGTGTAACAACCGCATGTCGTAAACCTCCGTTTTTTTCCATTCACGGTTTCAGTGGCAAAATAGAGGAATTTCTTATGCAAAAGGCATTAACAAACCGTCACAGGGCATGAATTATGGTTATAGAAGCGAACCGGGATTACGTGTACGAACTAAAATTAAAACGCGTCTCACCGTGACTCAAACAAGAAGGCATAAAGAAGCTGAAGATTCTCCTTGACAAGCCTAACCTATCTTCATAAACATTGTAACAATTGTATTACCATAACGATAAAAGTGTCTGAATTGACGAACAAGCATTAATTCTCGATAAGTAACCGATTTATCGGTAATCGTAGTGGTCTCGATTTATTCATCTTTTAAGTTATTCCCAACGGAACCATAACGTTTACATTGAATAAAAATGCTGTAACTCGTGAAAAAGATGGATGAATATTTGAATGTAAAATTCAAGAATTAATCTGCGATAATAATAATATCTCTGCGAGTTTTCGCTCTTTGTAAATGAACACTCGAAGAGGCACGTTTTTTCTGTCGGTTCTCGATGGCGAGAGAAAAAAACAGTTTCATCGCCGGCGGATTTAAACGAATCTTGCGGGCTCTTTCATAAATGTCCGGCACGAAAATAGCAGCGTGGCTACGAGGCGAGAGAGACCGATCAACAACATTGTGCTCATTCGAGAACTGCATTTCGCGATCGCGTGTACAGCGTGTTCTCGCGGATAGATTTAACTTCCAACAGACGCGTGCTTGCCAGTGCACAGTGGTCTGAAAACGCGTTTTTACTGGCCAAAAGTCAATTTTTGAAGTTCAACATTTTGAAATTTTTTTTTCTTATGAAGTTACAATACTTCAAACCTTCAAAATCCAAAATATTATAGATTTCAGATCATTGAGTAATCGACATTTTGAAGGCAAAATGTTGAAATTCAAAGTAAAACTAATTATTCTAATTACTAATTATACGGTAGTGAATAAAATATTTGAATTATAGTTTTATACATATCAGTAACTATATTTCGATTATTTAATTGTATTTTAAGCGGTTTTTAATCCATGTACAAGCAGATTATTGATTTGATATATTGACACATTTTTCGCGCGATATTAACATGTAATTTTGTTTCTTTAAGAAAATCTGAAAGTATCGCACGCCATTTTGTCGGGCTCTGCTGATGCGATAACTGTTCGAAATAATTGGAGGATCGCTATCAAATGGAAGAAATGATATAAATTTGATAAGTTAACACCTTTCTCGCGGAATACTACCATTTACAAGCTTTATTTTTTATAAGAAACGTTCCAGAAATTGTGGGC